TTGCTAGTGCCTCACCTCCTTTCTCGGATAACTTGTTGCCGCCAAGATGAAGTTTGGTGAGAGTGTTGTTTACTTTCAGTGCTTCTGCTAGTGCTACACCTCCTCTATCGGATATTTCGTTGGCTCCAAGATCAAGTTTGGTGAGAGTGTTGTTTAGTTTCAGTGCTTCTGCTAGTGCTTCACCTCCTTTCTCGGATATTTCGTTGCCTCCAAGATCAAGTTGAGTGAGAGTGTTGTTTACTTTCAGTGCTTCTGCTAGTGCCTCACCTCCTTTCTCGGATATTTCGTTGCCTCCAAGATCAAGTTTGGCGAGAGTGTTGTTTAGTTTCAGTGCTTCTGCTAGTGCTGCACCTCCTCTATCGGATATTTTGTTCCATTTAAGATCAAGCTGAGTTAGAGTGTTGTTTAGTTTCAGTGCTTCTGCTAGTGCTTCAGCTCCTTTCTCGGATATTTTGTTGCCAGTAAGATGAAGTTGAGTGAGAGTGTTGCTTGCTTTCAGATCGTTTCTAAGTGTGGCATTGGCTTGTTCGAAAGCATTATGTTGTGTCTTGCCGAATTGTATAGGCAGTCGTAGTGGTAATAGTTGCGTTATGCGGGTCAAGTATGGCACCACGACTTTGATCACTTGTTCTGATTTGATGTCGATCAAGGATAAAAAGCGAAGATTTGCCAATTTGTTTTGGGGAAAGTGGGTGAAAAACAAGTCAACGTATTCGACGGTCTGTTTAGAAAGACGCAGAGAACGAACTTGTGCCGTTGATGGAAAGTGTTCGCAAATAAAGTCACATCTGGATTGGCTGATGCGCTGAAAGTTCAGATCAAACTGTAGGCTGCCAAGTAGTTTATTAAAACGATCGTTTAATCGAAGGAATGAGTGGAGAATATCATAAGCATGCAAATATTCAAAAATTTCAAGAATCACCTCATTCGCCAAAGGTTGAAATTGCGTCACATCTAAACAAATGTGCATTGTCGAGAGTTTGAATCCGTGGTGTCTCTTATATAACGAGAGTCTCTGAAGCATAAAGGAAGGAGAATGGCAAGATGGATACGCACTTTCGAGCGTGAGTAGCAGTGTCACATCGAGTGATGGTTCTTCCGAATATTAGGCACGGTTCTGTCCTTCCAGGCTAATATGGATGGATCGCTAGCCATTAGCATTTTACTATGTTTTTGACCATGGATGTCATCTCTCTCTCTCCACTATTCTCAACACATTGAAATCATCAGGTGTTGTGTGTGCCACAATGAATAGAGTTGAAGAACACATGATCAACTTACCATTCTGTGCTTGCTTCAAGCATTCATCGTTGCCACAAGTACTGAGCAATCGGTCTGATAAGTCACGCTGCATATCTCTTCGGGGTATGAAATTAATGTTTTTGTATTCGTTCTGCTATTACTTTAATCAGAAGACTGAATAGACGCGATGTTTTTGCCAACATCATTTAAGTGTTTTCATGATGACATCACTGCTTTGTATTTTCCTTTTCTGTTTTCAAGACTCAACAGAAACGAAACTCGTTGTTTGAGTTGTGACGTAATAGGTAAGGAAGCAACAGCTCTGACAGAACATATCTTCTGTGTAGAGCATATCATTTCTGACGTGTAGAAAACGAATGTGACTGCACGAAGGAGGGAATGTGGCGTGGCCTGGGTCGAGATAGTCCCTGGCAAAAGTTAAGCGGAGAGCTCAACAATGAAGGTAAAAGGTGAGAAAAATCGGTTGATTGAATAGTCTTGTGTCTAAGTTATCTCACTCATATCTTGAGCAGTATACCTATTCTCACAAGTGATGTGCACGGATACCGTTTTCCTAGCCTTTCCCGATGCGAAAACGTTTTTGCGCTCATACTCGATCCGACTCGAGAACTTCGCATCCGATGTACGCCTAGGAATTTTCTCTGTTTCGTTGAGAAGAGATTTGAAAATCCTAGTCGAGAAACATGCTTTTGTCCAAGAGAGCTGCCACGCTTGGGAGAAGTCTAAAAAAATAAAACTAAGAGGTTCAAAAGACCGTTTCTCTCAAAATACACGGGAGAATTCCAGGGAGAAAAAGTCACTCGAAAGTTTTTTCGAGTCGAGAGCTTCTAAATCGTCGATTAGCACCATAACATCTACAACATCCAAAATTAGTACCATCACACCTTGACGCAGCTATAGGATGATGAGATTATAAAGCGTTATTTAATTGGATTTTTATGAAATTTTGGGATACAATAAATGAATGGTATTTTTTTAATATTATCAACAATGTCTATATTATAATCCTCTTTGAGCACTTCACATTGTGTACATATCCTGACATTTTTTCGACTTACTGACTTTATTTGACTGAGAAAAAAGTAATTACTAGAAAACATCTAGTTAAGTTCTTGACTTATCAGACGGAGTAAGCAGCCCAAAATGAGTTGAATTAAGGTAGCCTGCCTTGTACCCAGTGAAGTTCTCTGTCAGATGAGATGTTACTTGAATATTTTTGTCTGGCTGTATTTTACAAGTGGGATTCTAAGCTACTATCTATTTCAAAATAGAATACATTCGGTTGTTTGTTGAATAAGTCGGAAACGAGTAGTGGAATCGAATTGAGGTAATCTCATTGGAAGCCAAATAGCATCTAAAAACTGGCTGTTTTGCTGCTGGTCTTCGCTTATTGACCTTGGTTCAACTCCAAGAAACGAACAAGCGATTCAGAGTGATCGAAAATTTATGAATCCATGACTTTAGCTCATATGTTGGGGGGGAAACCGTGGTTTCATACTTAAAAACCTGCTTTCTCGAATCTTAGTAAGTCAAAGCTAGCACGTTTTAGAGTGAGATACAGAGCGATGCTGAGGTATGCTCTCCGAAAACTTTTTCACATACATTGGAATAAAAGTTCATGAGAGAAAATGAATCCATTTTAAAAAAAAAATCCTTTTAAATTCTTAAATATGTCTTGCATGGAGAATCACTAACCATGCTTCTCGCGATGCTATCAGGCCCACAACGTTTGTAAGAATGTTTATGTTCTAGTTATTCGACCTGTAGCTAGGTTCCACAATATGTTTTGAGTAACATAAGTATTAAGGTCTCTCATTTAAAGAACAGAGGTTTCTGACTCTATTACATCAAGAGACAGAACTAGTTTAACCCTTTGGGTCCGGGCGACGAGAATTCTCGTCCTAAGTCTTTATACACGAAGTACTCTCGAAAATCATGATCTTTTAGTCATTTAATGTTATGGATTGTATGAATATTTGTGTTAACAATGCTCGTGCGCTTGAGATCATTCATACTTACTGCTGGTTATTGGTTGTCCTGTGATATTTCAGATAATCAGTGTGTCGTTTGATGAGTTAATACATGAATCAATTTGCTAAAATTTCTCAAGAAAGAACTACCGCTCTCAAAAAGATATTTCCTTTTACAAAAGTCGTTCAAGCATGATATCTGTAAGAAATATTCTGACCAAACGATCGCATTCGATGAAGAATGTAGAGTGCATTTTTTTCATAT